AGTTTTCGCAGAATATGCGCGGTATAATTGTTATCATTTGATTACTTCTTACAACTAAGAAATATTTTTTTCGGAAATGTGATCTGTTTTATTATGTCTGACATATAATATATCGATAACCAAAATATATATACAGCAAGCATCTTTCATTTTAATCCGAAATTTCCCACGTTGTACATCTACAAAAAGAAAAACTTCTTCGTTAAGAAGTTGGATTAATAGATACGGTGTCCAACTAATTCCTAAGACATTTTGTAGCCTCCGCATTTTCAGTTTTATAGATATATTACAGATCACACTGTACATAATAACTTATTATTAATTGTAATATTATTTAACTAATAACACAACTAGCTTTACTATTAAATAAGGTCCCCGACTTCTAGTTCAGTGCGTAAACGTTAATCCAGAAACTTTTCGGACAACTTCTGGGATATTTTAAGTTCAAATTGAAAGCAAAACGAGGGATTATGCAAACAACAAGGACTATAAAAGGAAAGGAACCTATTTTTTGTTTGTGTTTCAACTAATTAAATGCGTGTCAATTACGTTTATTTCTTAACAGTCAAATTTTAACTTTATATCTATTTATCTATATATATTGTTTTCTTGTCTTTCAACATACTAGTTCATTCGTTATATAAATTCCAGGGAAATTTTAGTTACGCGAGAAATAACGTTGTAACACAGTCTCCTAGCTGCAGCTCATAGTTAATTTTAATTGGTTGTTCCTTCAGTGAATTCACCACCGTTTTGACGCTATGCCTTCTACAATTATCAATGATCTGAATTACTAACCATTCAAATAAGCGAACTTTGAAACTTAATTTCCGCAGTTAAAACTAGATTATGTTTACATGTCTACTTGATCATGCAGTTCAGTATAACCGTTAGCTGTTTTAGGCCAACCGTTTTCATGGCATTTTATCAGTTAAAATTTTAAGGCTGTAGCAAAAATAAAAATATTTATCATTACTTGGTTGCTTTTTAAGATGTTTATCCCTTATACTGGTAGTAATTAGTTCTGTGTAGTATCCATCCACCACACGAAGAGACTTGTCCTCGCCTGTTAGGAAGAGGAGTTCATTTTACTGTGGGAACAGATGCAGATAACTGATACAAGGTTGCAAATGAGTAAATCCAAATCCCATTGTTATTTTGCATGCGTCATTAGTCCCAGTTACTTAAAGTAGGATGCTGGGATTGTCTCACGCCACGTAATGTAGGCGCGGCCAAGTGTCTTCTCGTGGTGGACAGATTCTTTCTCCTAAACTGGGTTAGATGAGGTTAGGCAAAGAATTCTGATTCAGGAAGTTAACTGTTTCAGGCGAAGTATGTGAGAGCAGGAAAGAAAGAGATGTCTTCATGGAGGTCTTTCCAAAAGAAATTGACTCATATTCATTTTACCCATGGGGAGGGAAGCCACGAAAACTATCGTGAGGTCTCTTTGCTCACTTAGACATGAACCTTCGCCGAATTGTAAGTGTTTTATGGAATATTATCCCCTAGGCCACTGGTAGGCCCATTCTAATATAGGCTATTTATTTGAAATCATTCAGACATTAAGGCATTGTATTTATTTCGTATTATGTGTATATATCTCTTCAACTAGTGCAGTAGTTGGAAAGCCACGACCCTCGTGACATTGGACTCACTGCTTTAGGCCACTTAACCAGCTCAATGGTGCCTGATCACAGACCTTCATACAGTTCCATTTAGATTTGGCAATTTCTCGCAGGAAGCAAAGGGCTTCAAAGTTTCTCCCACCTTCAGCTAAAACCTCATATGGAGAATACTATTTATGGACTGGATTCACTCAGGAATCTGGAAAGAACAGGGATAGGAATTCCCTGCTGCATGCCAGAATAATAACAGTAATATCAAAGTATCAGTAATGCCTTTCTAAGTTGAAGGCTACAAATGTTAAGTAACAGATGAAATCAGAATTTTGGTTTAGTTAAAAGTGACGTATTAAAAATGCAAGTATTATTATTTTTGATGACCATGGGATTCTTCTGCCTTTCCTTCAATGAAAAGTACATTTACAGCTGAAAGCTAGATTCAATAAAATGCAAATACGGTTAACGTATCTTTACTTTTTTTTCTATAAAATAATCTAAATTTTATGCAAACATGCTTCGATATCCCCCCTCCGTATCGAAATGAATGTCCGATTTATAAATTCTTGTCGGACTAAAGAGATAGAAGCAATAACAGTTTTAAATACGGTACCATTTACTTTCGTAATATAATTTATAGGGAAGAAAGAACCCCAAATTGATGGTCAAAAGAGAGAAATATGAGTCTATAGGTGTTGCTGATAAATTTAAAAAATGAATCTAAGCATGTTGTTATAACGGCTATCGTGAAAAACATGATGTCTCGGCCAAAACTGTTTCTAGGATATAGTAACGAGCCAAACGCTGCGATGATGACGAAGGAGAACGCACTATTGTCAAGACAAGAATAAACGGACCTAGTGATCGTCGACGTAAAAGATGTGATGAGATTTGGAAAAAATCAGGACGTTTTCGATTCCCAAACGTACTTCATTACGAAGCCTTGCTGCTGAAGTGGGAGAGTCATTGCCAATGGTTCAAAGAATAAACAAAAAGCGTATACGAAGTGTGTTTCAAGAACCATGAAACCTAAACTGCAAGATAAGAACACATAAAACTGGAAACGTTTCAATTTCCCAACCCGCTTCCTGAATTTATTACCTGTACCAGACAATCCATTGATGCAGCTCATGAAGCAATAGTTAAAAAATTAAATGACATATAATATACAAAAAATTAAAAATAAATAAATACTTATTACACTTACGCAGTTGTATCAAAATACTGATTACACTTAGATAATTGTATCGAAATTAGTGACCAAAACAGGGAAAAAATTATTATTATTTTTTTTAAAACAGAGCAATCATTTCGATACAAATAATTTATGACAATAAGACAATAATTTCGATATGGGAGTATAAAATTAACCTCTACTATCCCAAGTAAATACCATTGCGATTTTTACTTTAGTATATCTACTTTAATTCAAATTAATCTATTTTAAATAATTCTAAAGAGAAACTTTAATTTCAAACTAATATACACATTTACGTTCTTAAGTAAAGGAAACCGGCTAGTAAAATAAGTGACCCTCGAAGTTTTGCGAATTAGACAGCAGGATTTATGATTCTTAGAAAGTGCTATATTAAGGTACAGGAGTATGCGGGGTTAAAATGCTGACAATAATTCAACGTTAAGAACACTGCGTCTGTCGATAAAAATGGCCGTAGTGAACGCTTGACATGATAGACAGCATGGCAATGCCTCTAGCATCGCAATATTTCTCTCTTTCGGACCCAACATATTTAATCTTTATTCCCACCTTGTCACTGCCTGAGATTTACATTCATCTATTTTTATTTACCTATCTCTTAGCGATAACTCCCATTAAGGATAAGTATCATTCATAAACATAACTCTGAAAAGTCAATCCAGATTTTATATTTAGCAAAGTAATAAATTCAAAATTCTACAACTACACATTTTTCCATATATCGTGTACTAAAACATTGTACTACAGTTAAATAAAATATAAGTGTTACATTTTCAGTAATGTGACAATATGAATGCTTGTAAACATTGGACTGTTTCGATTGATAAAAGTTAGGCTTTTAAGGGCAATGCTTTGAATTCAAACTATCATATTCAAGAATTTTTAATTGAAGTATTTAGCGCTTTAAATTTGAAACAAGCGCTTAGAGAGTTGTGCTGAAATGTAAAATATGGGATATGAATGTCCTCTCTCTATATAATATTGGATATTTGTAAGTTACTTATTTATTAACATCTTAGATTGCATTTAAATTATCTTTGGCCTAAATTTTGTATATTCAAAACTATTTCTTAGACTTTCTCATACAAGATTTATACGGGCTCACCAGCGTCCAAGCGGTAACGTCGCTGAACACTGGTAGTTCGGTTCGAGGATCAAATCACGCGAAAGGGTTTCCTGCATGGGCATATGTAACGTGTATACGAGCAAGTTTCCCTTAGAAAGTCCACGAAGGCATCCCTTCCTTAAGGCAGATAGCCCTCGAGTGCTTTGCCGTAATCTAATAAAACCAAAACATATAGGATTTCGTTTCCGCACTTAAAAGCTAAAGTAGTTAACCAATATCATGATTCGTTTATAAACAGAATATGATTTCATTAAGAAAGTGATTCTATTGAAATTGAGCCCACAAGGGGCCGAGCGGTAAAGTCGCTGAACACTGGTAGTTCGGTCCGAGGTTCGAATCCCGCGAACGAGCTAGCTGCATGGGTGTTTTCGTGGTTTTCCCCATGTAACGTGTATACGAGCCAGTTTCCCTTAGAAAGTCCTCCACGAAGGCATTCCTCCCCTTAGGCAGATAGCCCTAGTGTGCTTTGCCTTAATTAAATACACCACTACACCACTCTATTGAAATTGCTAGTTAACAAATAGTAGTATTTTATGGTTAAGAATATTGTAAGCCTCGGTTTCAGTATATGGTAGAAATGTCATATTTTAGGCATATTTTCAAGTATCCATGGGAAAACGGCAAAGCCACACATGGGCGTAATACACGTGTTTGTGCACATTTTATACTTAATTTTGAAGCTGTAGCTAAGCAGTAGGCACTGACTATAAAATATAAATATTTGTCATACCGATGTTTTTCTCGCTAAATTCCTTCTTCCTAAAAATGCCTCTTTTTATTATTATTTATGAACAAAACAGAACATATGAGCTCTAAATATAACCACACATTATTGTTGAATCCACAAAATCGCCAGAGTGTGAGTGAGCTTTACGTGTGAGCGCGAGTAATGAGAAAGAATTTAAACAGTAAATTGCTTATTTTGTAAGTAATAAATAAGTTAATCCAATTAATTTATTAATTTTGATACTGGCTGTAAAGTGTAAAAGTCCTCAAGAGTATTCTTTCAGTGATATTGAAACATACATATGCATACAAATAAAAATGTCTTTATTATTTCCATAAACACAAAATATTATTGTTTGTATAGTCACAATATTTTACAGCAATTCATAATACCAGGTTTTCAAATGCAGATAAAATATATTGAATAAATAGAAGTTTTACGAATAATAATACATCAGCTTTATAGAATAGAATTCTATTTCTACGTAAAAATCAAGAATAATAACTACTATTAACATTTAGTGAGTATTTATGGCACCATTAGTGTTCTTTAAAACTCTCTAACAGCAAAATAATTTTTAGCATACAGGATCTATGCGGCATTTCACAGGATATCTTAATCAGTTAAATATTACAAACATTTTCACAGAAATTGAATACTGAATGTTTAGTAATAGCAGTGGAAGAAGCATACATATACGGTTGATATTTTGCAATAGAAAACAGACAAGTATTATTTGTACTCCTACTGGTGCTGTATCGTAAAACATCATTACATATCATTGCAAAAAATTAGATATGTTGGGCAGAACGTTTTAAAACTATGATAATACTTAGCAGCATTTCGTTGAATCAGAAAAATTTTTTTTCACTGAAAATTAATTTTTTATGTAAATAATACAGAATATACATATTTGTTTTCACATATTTATTTATTATTTTAGGTTGTTACATTAACTTTCGTCAAATATCAAAGACTAAGTCAATGTTAGTCTGTAACTGACAAGGCCAACTCAATTCCGAAAGTCTCCAAGGTCTATTTTAATTACATAATTTATTTATGTTGAAATGCATCCTATAATCCAAAAGTCCACCGAATATGTTATAAGTGGAGTTTTTGGTAGGATAAAAATTATATTTAAGAGAATTAGGATTGGCAACGCCATCCAGCTATATAGAAATTTTTCTGTTTTTCCCTGACTTGAACGACATTGCTTTGTGTTGGTAATTTCATCTTTCCTATGATTATTAAAATAATAAGTCGTTTAATTAAACAAGCAAAGAGCTAAGATATAACTAAAGCTTCAGTACTATAAATAACAGAATTCGGTATCGTCTTTTATTCCCACGAAAAGTGTGTAAGGTTTATCCTACGTTTAATAACAGTCATTTTTAAGTTTATGCATTCCTAGCTCTTCTAATTTCAGCTTACAATTCCTTACCAGAATGAGTTTTCAGAATCACATTAAATGCAAATGAGAAGGAGTGGTATTTAAGTCGAAGTTCCATTGACTTCGAAGAGAGAGAATCAGAATTTCTGAATAGCGTGCGTTTGCCTTGTGACTATGTTCCTCTAAGCTGTTACTACGCTCGTCTGTATTACGTGCCATAGATAGCTTCGCTAGATAATTCGATATTTAGGGGGCCAACTAATTTAGATTTGTGTTAGTTTCGGCTAAATCTCTTTAATTAGTCATTAGTTAAGTTTTTATTTCTTATATTTTTTAAGGCCAAAGGGAGGCTTTGTTGTACGTCTTGAGAAATTTCTGAATTATTTCTGAATTTAATCAATTATTCGCTTAGTAGTTCACTATGTTCCTCCACACTTAGTTAATAAATAAAAGAAAGGAACGCTACAAGTGAAAGTCAGTTTCTGTTCTTTCATTTAATTCTGTACTTCAAGCTGAAGTAAATGTTCAGTGGTTTTTATTTTTGCTATATTAATATAGTGTTCTGACACCGGTAGTTAGAACAAAAATTCACCTGGCAGATTAGGAAATTGACTAGCGATTAGAATTAAAACAAAACATACGAAATTATACTTGCTATTGTTGCTCATTCATCACAGCGTGTGCATCACATTTGCAATCTGTTTGGAAGAATTTTAATAGAAGTGAATCTGTTACCCTCAGCGATTCAGTTTTCCTTAATGGATTTAAAATGGTGATACTTCAGTTAGGATGTCAGCGCGGAGGAAAAAAGAAATCATAAAATACCACATCTGTGAAACAGCAAAGATGATATACCACTATAAATTTTGTTTATGCTTATGCATTTGCAAACGCGCTCTGACCTGGTGCACTGCAATGATAAAGCAATGCATTCTCATTCCTTCATTGCTGAGGTCCTGAGCGAAAAATATCTTATTTCAGTCATCTCCAACCTAGCAGCAAAACCCCATATTGTCTGTAATCATCAAGTAAAAAAGTTTCTATCTGTCAAATACGTTTCCGAAAAACATTTTCAACTAGAATTCCGTGGTGTTTTTCTAAGATACTATACCAGTAGGTTTGATCTTCCTCACAAGAAATGTTTAATCATGTGATATCACTGTCTTACAGTCCGCTTCAAAGTAACTACTGCTTTGGGGAACTGTTTTAGTTTTCCCGAATTTTCTTAGTGAATGAAGTCATTGAACTATAATGCTGGGAAGATCTTGCCTGTCTACTGACCTTGGTCTCTCTGATCTCGCAAAATAAGTATACTTGAAATCGTCTAACGAAAGGGGTACTGCTTCGGCTGTATTTCTAATCAGACTTTTACTTTTTGTCATGGGGGTAGAGCATCTTCAAGCCAGATTGCAGACGATATTACTATCCAGAAACATTATGATCATAGTGTAAGCGTGTTATGATGTGTAAATATAGAAAGGAACACCCCTAAAGAGAACGTAAAACTAATTGCGGTGATATTACGAAATGGAGTTGGCCTTGTTAGGCATTTTTTTAATTAGTCCACATTCTTTAGCTATTTTGTTCCTTAATTTTAGTATTTGCTCAACTAATAAACAACAAAATTTGAAAAATATGAAAAAATCATAATTTTACATAATATTAATAATAAAGATTTTGTTTCACTTCAAATATATATTAATAACACTTAATACACTGCTCAAAACAATTAAAGGATATTGTGAGTTTGGTATGAAATAACCATAAAATCGCCAACTTTTTAACAAAAATTAAATAGAAGAGGTTAAAAAGGAAAATTATAACGTTTACGAAGTTGGGAGTATGCAATTTGGTCTGTGATGTCGTCAACTACGCGTTTAAATAAGGAGTCAAAAGCGACCTACAGCATTCCTTCTAGAAAAGGAGATTAAAAACAATTGACATACGTTGAATGTTTTATAACAGTGAATAAGATGTTTCAGTAAGTTGATTTAACTGTATCAGTAGCCTAGAGGGCCATCAGTCGTTTAGAGGCGAGTCAAGCGCTATCCGTCGTAGCAGAAGCGTTAGGAGTTTATCAAAGAATCATTTCCAGACTAAGGAACCGATTTTTGTAAATTGGAAATGTCCTCCGAAGATCGCAACAAAATCGTACACCTGCAACCACACAAAATGAAGATCGATATTTAACACTAACGGCCAGAAGAAACTGCGCTATGAATGCTATTTTCTTGCAGTAGCACCTTCAGAAGGCTACCGGTACCAAAGTTTCGACTTCACTATCTGAGTTTGCATACTTGCAGACTTGTGGTTTGTATTTCTCTGACACAAGACCACCTTGCTGCCCGCAGTAGTTGGACATAGAAGCATATCGGATTGGGACGAGATGTATGGAGCAATATGCTATTCACGGACGAGTTTCGCTTTAGTGTATAATCTGAAAACAGACGGATTCTCATTTTCAGACAGACTGGTAAACGAAATGCTCCTGTATGTGCATGAAGGTTCCGATCTGGCGAGGCGAAATGATGGTCTGGCCTGGTATTTGTATCAATGGCCGCCGAGACCTGCGCATTATGAGGAACGTAGCACTAACCGCTCAGCGATATAGAGGTGAGATTCCCAGATCTGTTGTAGTTCTTCACGCTGCAGCAATCGGGGACGAATTCATTCTCATGGAGGATAACCCGGACTCTCAGCTACATGACTCTCAGCTAGTGGAGAGTTTCTGACGATGGAATCCGTCGAATGGATTGGCCAACATGGTCCCCAGATACGAACAGAACATGTTTGGGACATTCTAGGGAGAAGGGTTGCTAGTCGCTTATCATCCCCAGAGACATTTCAGTAGTTTTAAAAAGTTCTTTTCTACAAGAGTGGTTGAGAATACCCCCAGTCCACCAATGGTAAACCTCATTAATAACATGTCCCCTAGGTGTGCAAAATTGCTTTCGGTCAGAGGAAACCCTTATAAAAACTCTTAAATATGAAAAAATATGAAAAAATCATAATATGCATCGGAGAAATAACATTTTTGTGTGTTTGTATTATATTGTTTATTGACGAATGTTGTCAATAAAATAATTCAATTATTCCTTGTTCGTTGCTTATTTCTTTTTTCTTATATTTTACAGCACCTATAAAATCCCATATATTAGTCACAAAAACATTTCCTTATCCGCAGTATATATCCAAAATCATATTATCCTTTATCTGTTTTGAGTAGTGTAGTTTCATTGGCTTCTCGAAATCTTATATGTTATGAAATAAATTTTTATAACTTAATTAATCTTTATTCGTTCGTTTAATTTCATAAATTTGCCCATTATTTATACACAACCTTTACATAAATTTCACCATTTACAAAAGTCTAAAATGTTAACAATTATATACATTATGAATATTTATTATAGCATTAAACCTGTAAGTATATCTGCAGGATAATACATATGATTTCTCACAAAAACTGCCATAATTATGTACATAAATGTATATGAGACTCAGACCTAATACTAGAAAATAAAAATATCATGCTTAATGCGATTCACATATTTACATAAAAGCATCAACAATCATCAGAAAATACGTTGCTATTATCTGTAGCTATTCTAGAACATAACTTTATTATATTTCAGTAACGACCAATAACCATATAATCTGTTCACAAATTACAAGAATTACAAGTAGGAAATAAAATAAGAGTTTATTTGTGCCCTTATGTGCATGTAAAGATATGTTAATAGATATAAGTAAGAATATATATATATATATGTATGTATACGTAATTTTAATTTCAAATTTCATGTTTAAAAATTGCGATCCTAACACACTACATACGTGCATTTTCATAGACTGTTGAAAATATACAGAGACGGCGAGAAAAGGACCATATTGCAGCTGTTAGAGCAATAAAATATTTCTTTGAAAGTATATATCATTTAATTGCATCTGATATGCATTTGCAATATTTTATTATAATACATTAAATTACATTTATATAGACACAAACCTGTGGCAGCATAAAATGATTACGTTAAATCAATGAGAATTTACTAATATTTGTAAGTGATACAGATTAAGAAATATTTTCAGATATGAATTCTCATGCAACTGTGATGAACAGTTTATTACGTTTACATATTTTTTTAATATTTGATTGTTATAAGTTATTCATAAACTGCATTTTTATTTTTACCCATTGATGTTGAAGAATTCATCTTAGAACTCTTAATATGCGGCAACCAAATTAATGAAACTAATTACTTTACATTTTTGTCAGCTCACGTGACTCTTATTTACTTTACCAAGGCAGCAGGTTTACAAGAAACTGAAATCTAATACTTAAATATCACTTAATATTTTTATACTATCTTGCTTCACGCAAACTTAAACAGAAACTCCACTCAAAGCGTAATGACTTTGTAAATGGGATGCTATTTTATTTTATATCTCGCTGTAAGTTATTAAACCGTCAATATTCGTGTTATATATCAGAAAATAAGAATGGCTGACAAGAAAACTTTGAACATTTTCCAGTGTATAAAATTCTCATCTTTATTTACAAAGTGTGGAAAGTTTTAATTAGCCTTATCTCCATCTTACGGGTAAGTTGATTTAATTCTTCTTCTAACATTAATACATTGTGCTCTGAGAAAGGTATACTTTAGATAAAATTATTTGATAGATTAACAAACCAAAATGTCAGGTGTGATTTTAAGTAAATAGGTATTGCTCTGCTAATAATAACAATTTAATTGGATTTACGATGAATTAAAATTTTATTTATGATAATTAATCATTTTACAAATTCAAGATATAATAATTTCACTCTGCAACATTAAAAAAATAATTTGACATTAAAAAAACGTTTTTGACTAAAGTGAATAAAACTTTCTACAAAAACTTATGTTTTAACAAGTTGTTCGTTCATCTCACTGCAATACAAATCATAAAAATCTATACACATAACAATTATTGAACACCACGTCATCTGTAGATAGATATTTTGCAGTTTATAAATTGTTTCATCATTTACTGCTACCAAGCAGAATTACTCTTAGCACTAAAGTGCAGTCATAAGGCTTAGTTACATGCATTTGATCAGATTGGAATGTTTAGAAGCTCTTATAGCTATGTGCGTAAAACATTTTACATTGTCTGGGATAAACAGCAGCAAATATTTTCTACATACGTATCAGTTCATACGTATCAGCACTATATATATGTTGCAAGAAATTTTCATCAGCACTAGCCATATTCCAGGGTGAGATTTTACCATGGACAAAGAACAATAAACTTCTGTATTCTTGCTACATGAAAAAGGTACAATACATGTTTTTTTGGCAACATTTGTTTAGATATCATGGCCTTGAGTTTTCTCAAACAAAATTTTCGTTTGCTTTAAAACTGTACTTATTTATGAAATACTAATACAGATTTCAGAGAGTGGATAAATTCAAACTTCGTCTTGACTTTTAAGGTGTAAATTCTACTAGAAATTGATAAACCATATTGAATGCATAAGTTTTCTAACTTCAAGGAATTTTATAAGAGTAATGAATGACAATTCATGAATAATGAATTACAATTAAAATGTATGATAATTACATTTTCAGGCATCCAGATAATAATGAAAATAATACATAATTTTACAAATAAAACCATTTCTTTAGAAGAGCCATGAATTTTGCTTTATAATTCTATTACACTTAGATAAAATATTTCACGATTAACGCAGATAAAATTTAGTTGACAAATCCTATTCAATGCATCTGAAAATTTGCCCTCTATCTAATTTTTCTGAATATTAAAAAAATACATTCTTATAAGTAAAAAGAGTTAAATGATCTTTAAATATTTCAAGAAAATCTGCAGTTAAATTATTGCAATACTTAATTCGACACCACATGCAATTTTAGAAATCAACTTAATTTCTTCAACTTAGGTTAATAATTACAGAAAACATATTTATTCAGTACAATTTAATACACCTTAGACGTATTCAGGTTTTTCTTCAGGGCAATTTATATAATTACAAATGTCGTTTGTAATTATATAAATTGCTCTGAAGCGGATAAATCATGAGTGCCACTTGCAGTATGAAAAAAAATAAAAAGATCTTTCCTATGTAAATTGAGCTTTTATATATGCACTTGAAAAAATATCATGAATAATCGAAAATTTAACATAAACTTAGATTATACATGAACACATACGTGGTACTTACACTTCGTGAAGTGTATCAGTCAGTGAATGAACATTTGGAATCTGTAATGCTTATGTACAAAGTATTAGGAAAAATATTCTTACATTATGGAATATGGTTATGATATATTTGTTCAAAGGTAAGAAATATTTTGAATTGTAGGAACGTCATCAAGAAGAAACGTTTCTGTTCTTGATATTATGCTTCATAGTTTTTCTTGACAATCTTTAACAAATGTAAGCTTGATCTGAGAACCGAAAATTTACCAATTAGTTAAATAATAGTTAATAAATTCCATATGAGATTTGGTGAAATCGTTAGGCCCTGAATATCTTTATTAACTCAATTTTTTCTTATTAAGCAATCAGATTGCAGAAGTATGAACATAGGAACTAGTAATCCATAAACTGGATTACATATTTTTATGTATTATATTGAAATAAATTAAGGGTCTCTTAAGGTAAATTTTTTTGATAGAAATGGTAAAAAAGAATCAGCGGGTTTCAAAATCAGACTTTTGTATTTTTAATAAACTCGTTTTGAGTACTAAATCTAACATAACAAGAATAATAACACGTAATGTCCTTAAGCCAGATAAAATTACCCCTAAACATGTTTTTAAAACATTTTTGCTTAACAATGTTATGCATTTGCAAGAAATCTCGTTTATCTAGGCAATAAGAGAAGCCGGTTTTGATGAAACATGTGCTTGGGGAGGATAACCCATATTACTTTTTATTCTGTTTGCAAGTATGCAAAAATGTAATAAAAATGTACTGTATGTTTTACGCTACACTCATTAACTGAACTGAATAATGAGTGTTCTTTTTTAAGGTATTCTTGTAATATTTATAAGCAGCTCTTTTTGCCCAGCATTTGATAATTAATCTTGGGTACTATTTTTGCATTTGATTACTTTTGCTTATGTTTATTACTTTTACGTAAATTAATACATTCATATCACTTCCTCTTGTTATAAAATGTGCACTTATTTTCAATTTAACTATTGTAAAAAAATATCCATATAATGAAAAAATCCATAGTTGCTGATGTCCCCGATTAACGTAATTAAATATTATTTTTTTTACAAAATTTAAATAAAAAGAGTTCTAATAAGAAGGTATGTATAAAATAAATACGCATTTCGCATAATGTTTTACTTTAGTGTGATCTAATTTAAAGAGTAACATTTACTAATATAATATTTGCTTATTTTGCACTTAAATCTGAAGAGATAAAAAAAGAAAAACAAAAAAAAACAAAACAAAAAGAAAAGAAAGTTTAATACTGTACCTAATTTACCTTTAATTAAACAAACACAGCAAATACGGTGACTATTTACCGTAGAACAATCACCTCTAAAGTAACTAGCACTTCTGTACATAAATAAAACCTTTGATGCAGCATCATGAGATAAAACAATTTAAACAAAGTAATTAAAACTTTGAAACAGTTTTGAATTGCTTGAAATATCCATACGAAGGTCGGCAGTAAGAAACCAATAGAATATAAAGCAAATGTGGAGCTTGAAGCGAAAAATGCAAAAGTGAAAAACACAATGAATAATAGATGAATAAACCGTTGATAATAAAAATTATCTCTCCCATTCCCATTCTTTTACGTCACTTCAAGATATATTAAAGGTTCTTTCTATACCGATGCTTTGTTTCCGTATGCAAACTTCTTATTAGCCGCAGGTTATAATCAATAATTAATTTTTCTCTCAATAGCATTTCTATATACTTTCACTTTAAGTAGGATGTTTGCAGACATTTTGTTATGCACTTGGAATTACAGTACAACTCCAATTATCCGAACTCTGATTATCCGAATTGCCGATTTTCTGCATCGCTTTCAGAATTTAAGAAAAAAATAAGACAGAAACATAGCGTTGGATAATCAACCATTTAAGACATTAAAAGGAGCAAAGCTAACACTTTTAAACTTCACGTCACTGCTTGAAAACGAACATGTTAGTTCTTCAAGAAAAATCAGTGAAGGCAGTAATAAACAAAAATTTAGAAGATGTCGTTTTCAAGTGGTTTTTGCAGCAACGTCCTATGGGAAACCCAATTTCGCGTCCGAATTTTAGTGAAAAAGCTAAGATCTTAGCTCAGACGCTTGGCTGGTCATCCTTTAAAGCATGTAAAGCCTTGCTAAGAAATTTTACGTGTAGGCACGGTGTCCGTCAAACAGCTTACTTTGACCGAGATGTTCAGCAAGCAATGACTTTCAGCACTTGTAAGTACTGCACAGCACGCTATATAACATGTAAGTAAAAGTGTTACCTTTTCATTTTCATTGATTAGAAACCTCTTTTTGTTTAAAAATAGTTTTTTTTCTCCATTTTCAACATACAGTACATACAGTAATTAACAAAAGTGTACGTAAACCCTATCTTCGGAAAAAATCCAGTTATCCGAATTTTTTATAATCCGAATGCAGTCCGGTCCCAATTGAGTCGAATAATTGGAGTTCTACTGTATATCCTTGTATGTGGTTCTTATTGTTTAATTGTAAATACGTGCAAATTGAAAGGTTGGGTTTATTCAGCTGTTCAACAACAAATTTTATTATAAAATATGCATTCACTTTATTCATAATATTTAAACCTGATAAATTATAATGAACTAATTAATGATGCATATTAATGAAATCAAATTTTAAGTAAAAAATAATGCAATGCCTTCAAGAAGACACTCTCCCCTTACGTAAATACTACAAGTTACAAAAAAAAAAAAAAAAAAAATGAAATAATACTATAACGTCATCAAAGCGGCAAGTGACTTTAATAGTATAATCACATTTCTGGAGAAACTCTTAGCATTGATTTATTGATTGATTATTTATTGATTGAAACCTCGAGTGCATTGTACATTAAATACTATTTATGTTTAACAATGACGTAACATATAAGTAGTATATTACATTACAGTTTACTGATAAACTTGATTTCGAATTATAGATAGGATTTTGGGACAAATATTTTTATTCTCCAGTTTCCGAAGTTTAATCTCTCTTATCAATCCTTTCGTGAGATAAAATAGCGTAAAGGCAGTTATTATCAATTTACATAATGTTGATTTATGGCCGTTTTTAGTACAAGAATAATAACAGTTCAATTATAATAAATATATCATGAGGTTTAAACCAAAATTAACATATAGTAAAAGCAAAAATGACACGATAAATGTGCAGCTTTTGTAAAAAATAGAAGCAGTGTGAACAGAAGGTAATTTCTAGATATGGATTATACAAATGTTTTGAATCCCTATGAATCTTGATAAGGAATTTTTGTGCCTTTCGTCATTCTAGTCTTCCGAATCCTACTTAAAAATTGTGAAGTTTTAACGCTGATAAAATAATTCTTTCATTTATTCACGCCACAAAGAGCTTTTATTAAAAAAAACATGCGATTGTTGCAGTTTCAGTGAACTTGGTTCATTAATATTCCTTAGTAAAGTTGTCAGTGCAGCACTTTTAATTTTCTGTAGAGAACTGAACGTTTCATATTTTGTATTTTTCCATATTAACACTCGGTATAGTTCTCTCTTTTCTAAACTTATTATGATTTCAAAATATTCTGGAAAATTGTAAAATGTTTGAATTGTTATATGTCAAATATTTTGAGAAAGTGAATCTCAGGATTCACAAATTTAAATTTTGCACGTTATTTGTTAATTTCCTTTGAGTCTATTTAATAACATAGATGTAGTTTAAAAGTCCACATTCATGAATTTGCTTTCCATTAAACGAAAATTCCAACTTTAGTAATAAAATTCAGGTATAAGTAAATTTTTCTTCCTTAAATTTTCTCCTTTTCAGTATTTTTACATAAAGGGTTTGATAGATTCGAGAAACTATTCCGAATCGATAAAACTTCGGATTATTTTCATCTCTACCAATTTTACATTCCAGTATATGGAAGGCTACGATCATAATAGAGTTAGATGTTGAGTTAGCTGAATTTACGATTGTGGGAAGTACTGATGACTCAGGTTTAAGAAAGGGGAAGATTAGCATCTGTTTAAACTTCATGGTTCTTCCAAACTATCAAGTAATGCAATTACAGGCAAGTCACACAAATTTACAGCTTCCAGCCTTTATACTTATTTGCTTCGTTATCGAAAGGCGAAATTTGTTTCGCGCTGCGGCTGATGAACAAAGATTGAAACAGTATGTATGGTTGCTTTGATTCATGAAAAAAAAAACTTTTCTGTCATGCAAATCATTACAAACACTCAAATTATCTTGCCAGACTTATCATAAATTTTTATCATCCAATATTACGCATGTTTCTTACAACTGCTGCATGAATCAATTACTAACATTAATTTCATTTGTTGTCCTATTTATATAAAAATAACAACGGTAGTTTTTTAATTAGCAGACGAGGCTCAATAAACCCTTCGTGAAAATAAGCTAAGTCTTCCGTAAAGCGTGGAATACCTGTGTCAGAACGTTATTGAATGCACGCGAAATATGTATTTCGATATGTTTACCAAAATATGGTGTCGATAAGAATTGAATAGAATCCAAGTGCAGATTTGGTAAAATAGAAACATGCATTTGAAATGCAGTCATAAAATTAAACATTTGTTTAATTAATCTTCATGAAACTGAAACATTTTGAAAATAAAATAAAAGCCCAAGATTTTTCTAAAATTACAAGTTACCTCTCAAGATCTGTTGCCAATATTAATACATTTAAATTTTGTGATGTATACGCTCTTCTTATGTATATTTAATGACAATTTACAGAATACTCTGAAACCGAATATTTTTCACAGACAAATAATGTGTAACTAATTATCTAATTTCATTTCTCATATATTATGAGAAATGTATCAGGTCCATAGGCATTCAGGAAGCACAAAATAATGTATAATGTTTATCAGATCATTTGAGTTTATGCAGCCAGTTCAAATGCAGAGGTTTCTGATTCTCACAATATTTATTCACACAAATAGACTAATAAGTCAATCAAAGTTTTGCTGCACCTCATTAATTTCTTATTTTGAAATACATTTTGGCATAAATCACGTACGTACGAGTATCTTTGTTTTGAAATTTAATCTCTTATTTTTCGACATACCGTGTGGAATTTAATTTGTCCATCCTACTAAGGAACTAACTTGTAATACGTTTCGTTCAAATCTATACTGTCGAATTGGAGCTCTTCCAAGGAGATGTATCTGGTATACCTTCTGGAGCAGTTATGACTATACATTTGTTACCTCCACCTTTCAGAGGAATAATTTGCTCTCTTGTTTTCTTTTCGTTTATTCCCATTGATCTTTTGAAATGTTTCCACGGGCTCCTGATAATTTTTCTCAAGGGTGCGCAAGTACTATGGCTTTGACTAGATCCTTCGGCCATACTATCAACGTCTTCATCATCATATACCACTTTACTAGCAGAACTTTTAGGAACCTGCAAGAAAACTGCTTTTGCACTACCCACAGGACTACCATGTCTTGACTGGCTAACATCAAAGCTGCTACCCTTTGGAGAACTGAGCCTACTCATACGTGTACTGCTTAATCTCCTACTAGCACTACTTCCTGGGCTATCGGTGTCGACATTGCTAACAACTGTGCTTTGATAGTACATGGAATTCATGTTGTTACGCTTATCTTGTATACATGGGCAAAATATCTTCACAAATGTCCTTCGATATTTCTGACTGAGCAAGCAGTAAAGAACGAAATTCCCTGCTGCATTCAAGGACATCAAGAAATTAAAAATATTCCCGAGGCCTCGGAGGAGATATATCTGTTTAGAGTCGAGGTTCTCGTGAAGTGTGCTATATAGAAGATGACACGCAGTTGGTAGCTGGCAAATAAAGAACAAAATAACGACAGCAATGAGCATAATTGTGATTTTATTTTCTTGGCTACTGTCGCTGTTTTCTCCTCTAGTCATAGATGATCTTTGCACCTTGGATAAATGAACAGATCTTATCAAGAAACTGTTGAAAATGGCTAGCAAAATGAAAGGAACAAATATGAAAAAGACCACTGTTAACCAATAATATATGGTTTTGTACAAATAATTTTTCCCCATATCCGAATGATCTAAGTATAACGTAGTATGGTTCGTTTCCGAATCCACTTTTTCCATTACTTTCCATTCGAAAGGTGTAGGAATGGTAAATGCGAAGCAAAACAAGAATACAGCAACGATGGCTTTCTTTGCTCTGGATTCAGTGCAGAAAACCTTCCCTTTCATAGGATGACAAACTGCTATGTACCTTTCTACAGTAAATGTTACAGTAAGCCAAACAGACGTATTGCTGCAAGTATCTGTAATCATGAGAATGAAAGGCCGTAATCTCCAATATATATAATGGTCACTATCAGGTATCCTGGGATAATGACTCAAAGATAATATGAAAGTAAATATCAAGTACATCATATCAAAGATTGCGAGAGCAGCAAGGTAGTTATTAGTAGAGCTTCTCATACGACGACGAGTCATAATCACAATAGTAATGACGTTTCCAATAATACCGATTGTCATTATCGAAGGGACTAAAATTCGCTGAACCCAGAAGCGAGAATAGATGAGGAAATTTCTGTGATACAATTCGTCATCAACTGCTGCTGCAGAGTAGTTCGAAGTGTTGAGATTCATAGTTAAAGTTGCTGCCAATCACTTTAGAGTTAAGATGTAAGTAAGTCTAAAAGGCTTCAAATATTGTCTTCTGTGGTATAGCAAAATATATCCAAAAGAGATGTTGCAGCGCTCTTTTCCATAGTTAGCTTCCTAAAGGAAAAAAAAAGAAATATGTCAGAGTGAATAAATAATAGTATAATTTTTGAATTTTACTAATCCCAATGCCTTAAATTACATCTTATAAATTTTACAGAGAAGAAATTGGCAATGTATTCTGAATCCTTATGTTATGAAAATATTCCTACTATTGCATTATGAATTGACAGTTTCGTTAAATATTTTTATTGCTTCATAACTTTGTTCCTTCAGACAAAATAAAAAAAAAAAAATAAAAAAAAAAAAAAACTTTTATTGATTCAATTTGTATGTGTGCGTGTACAAATAGGTTATAACAGAACACTGATAGTCACCACTTTAAGGAGTGATAGAACATGGGGAAAATAACAATTTACTTAATGCTATATGTGGTCGGATGTGAAATGTGAACATAAAATCTAAGTTACTATAAAAACATGCAGAACAAAACGCTGTTTTAGTCACATATATTTTACAAGAGTTGCTCAAATGAGCGAGCATCTGATTCAATTCATACGTTAACAATGACGACGAAGTTATTGACGTACACGTTTGGACGATACCGATAAGTCATTGCATTTCTTCAGTGGCAACACTAATTTGGTGATGGGGACTTCAGGAGACTCAATCTGAGTCTTGCAAACGTGATCCACCTACTGTTGTGATCAGTGTCCACCCACGTGTTACAGCTTCTGGTCGTTTATTTGATCAATTATTATAAATATTAAATATTTCTTGTAAATAAGGTGATTAAAACACACTTTTTATTTCCCATTTTTTTCGTACTTACTGTGCCAGGTTCACATTTCACATTTCATCCCACGCTGAATGTGGAAAATTGTTGCTTTTGCCATATCTATTCAGCCCTTAAAATTTTGCGCCCATCATCTCTCTCTCTTTCTTTTTCTCTACACACACAAAAACACACACACACACATATATATATACATACATATATATATATATATAGTATATATATTCTGGCAGCTTGAAAGCCCTCTAGCTTGAAGAATTATGACTTTAATTAACAAATTACTTTTTTTCATTATTTCTCTTACTTTAGAGGCCAATTTAGGTATTTTTTTGCTGAATTAGTCATTTTCACTTTTACCCAGTCCATTTTCCTCAAACTAGTATGATAAGATGCCATTTTGAACTTTTTCCACATTTTTCAACTCCTTTCACCCCCTTTTGCTATGAGTCAGGTTGCCGCCAACGGGCAGTCAGTTGACATTGGCTATTGCCCAGTGACATTGTTCCCCCCCTTTCTACGTCATCCGACAAGTTGGTGGGCAATGGAAGCGCTAGGGAATTTGCAAGCCCTTTTCGAGTTTCCTCGTCGCCAAAGAAGACAGCTTTGTTCCAGGTCTGATTTTTATAATTTTTTCTCTAAAAGTTTTTCTAGGTCTTGGAAAGACCCATGCTGCTTGTCGTCTTATTTATTATTTTTTACTTTTTGATTTAAATATAATTTACGGTTCCTTTGCAAAGTTTTAATTCTTTAAGCTCGCAGGTCTAACCCATAAGTTCTTGTATATTTTGACTAATAGCATACCGCTATTTATTTATTTATTTTTTTTCTGTACATCGGTATTGCCTTTCCGTTTTCTACACCTTAATGTGTCAATATATGCGGACGCGTCGGGAAATTGGAACAGAGAATTGAGACTAAAGTTTTTTGACATAGTTTTAATTTATTAAAAATTTGTCCCGCAAAGTTTCAATTGTCAGTTTCGGCGAAATACGTAATGGAGAGCTTGGTTCGAAGTTCATTTTAAAAAATTTCCCTTGAAAAGCCAAAATGAGCTTCGAATTGGGCTAATTAATCATTTACTGGTTCTTAATTTTAGTATATTATTTATTTTTTACCTTGATCAATTGATTAGTATTTTATTGTGCTTTATAATTTACTTTTTTCGTTTAGCATATAGCCTACTATCTTTATTTTACCTCGTTTAATAGATTTCTCTTTTTTACTGTGTTAAAAATTATCTAATTCGTTTAGCATATACCTTTTTTATTATTTTAAATTGTAAATATTCAAATATTTTTCTCCTCTTTCACACATTTCATAGCAACTAAATATGTTTATGTTGGAGTTTTCTCGGAGCCACAGTTTTTGGTAACTTTTTGGCGTGCTTACTAAAATTTATCTTCTAATTTCCTTAATTTTGCAGCACAATGCGCAAAATTTTGACCAAAATTAATCTTTTTTCGTTTGTTCTTACAACCTTACTTATAATAATAATAATAATAATAATAATAATAATAATATATTATTATTATTATTATATATATATAGATATACGCACAATAAATATGAATAAATTCATCATGATTTAAAACAGCAGGAATTTAATACCTCCGAGTATATAAAACATGGACTAATGAAAAATAAACTTTCCATTCTGAATTTTAGAAAAAATTTAGTGAATTCTCTTTTAAAACTTTTTCAGTTCTTTAGTTTAATGCAAGCTATTAATTTAATCCCATTAATTTATTTAACTTCTCCTTGAGTCGCTCTGATCGATAAAGGATAAGCAATAGTGGCTGCCGTATTGCGGGGCCCGGTTCGAAACTCGGAGTTTGATTGAGTGCTTGAAAGTATTGTCTCTTTACAGTATGGGAGCCCTTAAGACACATGGCGAACCTAATGTGCTTTCGAGAGGCTTGGTAGCAGGGAACGAAGAGTGGGAGACCCCTGGATCTGTTCCCCGAGGAGACCCTTAGATCTGTTCCCCGGGGGATTCTACTATTTAAAACTGGGATGGAGATTGGAAAAGGGTTACAGTGAACTATAAGGTGCCCAAGGTCCAATCCAGACGCAATCCTGCACTCTTTGCCGATATAAAATTAATATAAAATGATGAAATTATTCAGATATTAATGTCAAACAAATCACAACAATAACTTCCATTGGTATATTTTCACAAATTAAATTAATTTTTTCCTATTCTATTTAAGCTGTGCTCCGTGTCATTTTGTTTTAGCTATATATATATATGTATATATATATGTGTGTATGTAATGTATCAGCTTTAGTCGTAGATTAAGTAATCAGACGATAAGTTTGAAAAACAGGATCCGTTTATTATTATTCCGGAGAAATAGCAGTTACAAAAATCAGATATCCGGAGTAAATAAAAAGAATTACTAATAACTTTTTGTATGAAGTTTACTGCATCGTGACATTTACCAGATATTCTTTTGCGAGTCCTTTTATAGCCTCTGGAAAGGCGGAGCTTCAAAGAAATGACGTCAGCCTCGTCAGCCAATCCAGTTCGCTTTAAATATTTCCAGAACAGTCTATAACTGTACGTGTAGAGAAAGCGGGAAAAACAACTTGACTACGGGGCTGTGGATTTAATTCCATGTACTTTCAAATAAGAAAACGTCGCCATTAAAAATGAAAAGAACATACAGTTAGAATTTTAAGTGTATTCTTGACTATAGAATTTTATTATTACATATATATATATATACACATACATATATAAGTGTATTCTGTGATGACAAAGAAGTATGCCGACAAAGCGGTGTGTAAAGATAGAAGCAGAAATCATAGTCGAAAGAAAACTTTCTTTTGTTGTTAACAAAATATTTGTCGACATAAAACAACAATACTACGTTGTACTTTGAGAAACGGGTTATGCTAAGTTATACTTAGATCACTCAAGTATAGGAAAAATTTTTTGTATAAAACCATATATTATTGGCTAACAGTGGCCGTCGTCATATTCGTTCCCTTCATTTTACTGTCCATTTGCAACAGTTTATGTTTAAAAATGGTTTGTCAACAACAAAACCCTGTAGAACTTGAATAGAACAATTTGAGAGCCCGTCTTTGATCATTTACGCTTTTGTAATCTTTATAACAGTATATGTTATAAAAGTAAGCTAAGCGGTGAAGATTCCACCATTTAAGTTGTATATTAAAATTGTTTTTTCGACAACAATTCAGTACAATAACTTGTCAACAACTGCACATATATACAGTGAAATGCGGTTAACGCGAAAACGCTTAAGACGAAATAGCGGTTAACGCGAAATAGTACAACGGTTCCGACAAACTACTACGTATTTCCATGCATGTTTTTTTTTTTTTTTTTTTTAACGAAATTAAAATCGCTTAACAAGAAAAGATATACTTTCTGGGAATGAACAAAATACGGAAAACACCAGCCGCGCAAGCAAGATTTATGAGGAGTGTGAAATGAAAGAGAGGTGTTTTCGCAATTTTTTTGTTGAAAGGAGGCTAACGTGGCTTTGAAATACCTTCGGAATATCCTGTGCCACGAGTCAGTTTTGTTTATCTAAGCTACTTTCACCCTCCATTCCTACAAACGCCACACAAAAACATCTCATCTCTCATCAGTTGGCTTTAGAATTCGGTGATGAGTACATCACAGTATGTGTAAAAATCGGTGAGTTTGGTTCGCACGAAATGAAATGGAGAAGAAGGATGTTGAAACTGAGCTGACACTTAATGAAATGTTTTAGAAAGTTTCTGTATTATTGGACTGTCCTTATTGTATCATCGGAAGAATTCGTTGTAGTAGATGATGATAATGTGCGCACAGCCCCAATTACGGCAGACAAAGACAATTTGGAGTTCGTTCAAAGCTCATAAAGTATCATTGATCCAGATTCCGATGACAAATATGTAATGTAGCTCCTATTTCCACGGCATCCGAAATGGGGAACATCGTAAAAAGTATGCGCAGCAATTTAGACGCACATTCAAAAGGTGAAATGAATAACAAAATGGACGGCATCGAACAATTAGATGCTTAAAAAGCCAATTCAAAGAAAAATATCAGATTATTTTCCAAAAGCTCAATAAATGTTTTGTTTTTCAAAAAACTTGAAAATTTTGTATTAAATTAAGTTCTTGTGGATATTTTTGTTTCATTCATTTTTATTAAATACATGTAATGCAATTAAATACTATGTAAATAAAATGTACTGTAATAAACTTAATTTTGTTGAATATACGTTTCTTCGCAATATCTATT